CAGCTTTTCTTTGCTTTACCTGCAAAGTTTGTAAAGTTATTTTTTTAACACTGTTGTAACTGCGAACAGTTGCTAAACGAAGCAGTCACTAAACGAGGATTACCTGTACACAGTTTAATAGCCATGGATAACAACTCTGAATGACACAGTTATTTCTAACAATGGATGAAAGCAGAGTTACAATTACCTCATCTATAAATCCTCACTTTTTTCCACTCATGTGAAAAAAGTGTCATCCCTGCCATCAAATTTAAAGTTCCTCTCATCTCAGAACAACTAACTTCCTCCGAGCAACAGCAATGACATACAGAAGATTGTCTAGCTTTGCTTCAGGTTGTTATGCAATACACACTCAGTTGCCTACCAGCACCAGAAATCTGGCAAAATCAGGAAGCTTCCTTAAGGACTGATATAAGCCATGTTCTTTCATTACTGACTGCTAATAGTTGTTTTTCATTTCAACTAACAAACAGGGTAACCGTTAAATGATTTATGAACTATATTGTTGCTGGTTTTTTTGGTTTTCCAAAAGCAGTCACAGCAGAATGCTGCATTTCTCCATTGCATTTTGAAACGCAACGTTATTTCTGCATGAAAAAGCCTACCACCACCGACCAAAGAAAATGGAGTTTCAGATGAGCCAGTAAACTCTTTTCTAATACAAAGGTGCATTTCTCTGCATGCCAGTTTGCTTCTGTGAATCACTGCTTTGTTAAAGGTCAATGAAAGCATTTCCAACATAAGCAGGTTCAATTACATGTGCAGATTTAGCCCAGGAATTTCCCTAATTACATGAGTTGCTGATAGCAATTCAGCTTAAAAAGGTAATTAATATGTTTCCTCTAATAAGCTAAACAGCAAAAGTAAACATGTTAATGTGAAAACACAGCTTTTAAAATTATGCAATCAAATCTCAATCTAAATTTGATTCCATTCAATTGCTCATGGACTATTAATAGAATATATCTGATTATATCAAGTTATGGTGGAGATTGGGATTATTTCAAGAAACATTTTAGCAGTCCTTGGAGAAAAATGAAAAATACAGTATCTACATATACATAGATAGCACAATAAACAAATGCGCATGTGGTTTTCTACATGGGGAAGATTCACTGGGTTTGCAAATGCTTCCTTTTTAGCATCTAATTCAGAAACTCTGGGGGTACCATCCATTGTTTTCACCACACAATTTCAGTAGAAATAGATCCTGGAAATGAGTCATATCATCAAGTTCATCCCTTGAATTTTGCTGCATTTCCTGATCCCCCCCCCCCATATGGGGGATGGATAATTCCTTTACTAACATTCTTTGCTTTGCATCTGATATTTGGCAAGGTAGTTACACAAAATTAGAGCTACAATCTCAGCAATACTATTAGTTATTTCCCAAGTTAGCAAACTTCTAGATATGTAAAATAAAAGCTTTCCTAATGGTAATAAAAATCCTAAATTAAAATTAAAATAAGCCTACACACGGAAAAGAAACTAGCAAGTGAGGAAAAGCTTTTTAATCCAGATGTAATAGCTCTCTATGAAAGTCTATGAAGATGTTATTTATCCTGAAATGGCATTGTCCAAGAAGGGCCTTCTTGTATGCCTTTTTTCTACAAGACTGAGTCAGCTCTGAATCACAGCTAAGACCTAGAACTGAGATACGCAGCACCTAGAATATTTTAAAATTACTGTCATAGGCCAAATCAATTGAGATTCACTGAACAAGTTTGAGCAAAGATACTATGAGTCATATTAGTTCTTGCACTTTGAAGAAATAGATTAGTGGCAGCCAAATTAATACATTCTAAAGGTTTGTGTTATTTAATAACCTCTCTGACAGAAATGTTTCTTATGTATTAGTAGGGCAAATGTTAACTTACTTAAATGAGCAAATGATAGCCATAACCAAAAGGTCCATCAAGATAAAATATATTATTACTACTTGTCTTTAATACTAAATGATTTATTATGCCATGACACTGAATCAATTGCTTATTTCTCTCATAATTCAATGAAGCAAACATTATTTAGTCTGTCTTCTCCAAGTTAAATAATAATACAAATGTCATATTGAACTTACATGCATATTAACCATTTGTGGTAAGAGTGCTTTTAGTGGAGGTGATAAATGGTACCCATGTATGCTAGTCTTCTCTTCTCTGGCACCCACTTGATGTGATAAACTATCATTCCTATCATACCAAACCAGTTGGAAATAGTTGGTTTACATGTGGTGTTTCTAAATTGTTCCCAGGTCTATGACATTCTTGTGTACAAGTCATCCCCCCTCCTCCTACCCATCGGGACAGCCAATTTTATGAGTAGGATAGGTATTTCTGCCAGTGGTAGAGTCTCCATAGCCTCAATGTTCATGAGCCCCTTCACCTGCAGTCTAACTGGGAGCAGTGGATGATACATAAGGAAAAGGTATTACATGTTTATTCAGGCTTCTGCAAAGACATTGGTGGTGGGGGGGGGGGTTAGAGATAGTAGGAGTAACAGTGCCAACTAGTAATACAGGAGAAGCACTGCTACCTCTGGCTTATCAGAAACAACAGAAGCAAACTGAGGATCCCAGAATCCCATTAATGGTCATCGAAACTTCTCATATAGTTGCTTCTGTACAGAGACCCAAGTAATGGGTTTTATACACCTGCAATTTGTCTTGGTCCTTTAGCTCAGCAATAGGCTTGGAGAGGACATTTCATATGTTAACTTTCCCAATAATTGAATATAAATATTCTGTATGAATGTATGCCTGATGCATCTCTACAAGTTTTTTTTTTTATCTGCGCTCAGTCGTTACCGACTCTGCAGTGACTGCTTGGACGAGGCCTTTTGCAGTTTTCAAGGCAATTGTTTTTCGGAAGTGGT